ATCTATAGATAGTCTTATTAAAATCTTAATTAAAAAAATTAAAAATTGTTAAACTATCTAAATATAAAATATATATCTAATAAATTAATTAAATTAGGATATTAAATTAAATTAGCTCTATTTAATTTTAAAATTTTAAATTCTAAAAAAGTTCTATTTAAAATTTCTATTTTTTTATCTATTTTTATACAGATTTAATATCTATTTTTAAATATTTAAATTTAGACAAAAATATTAGAAACACTATTTCCTATTTAAAAAATATTCTAAAATTTCTAAAAGAATTCTAGGATATTTCTAATATAAGAGAATCTAAGTAAATAATATTATTTATTTAATTATTTTTAACTAAAAAATTAAAATTACTATAGAAATATAATAGTTTATTTAATTTTATTTAATTAAAAATTAGGATTACTATAGATAGCAGTCTTAATTAAATATAAATATAGTCTTAACTCTCTACTAATTTTTATTAAATTTAAATTTATTCAACATCTTATATTTATTTATTTATTTAATTATCTCTATTCTTTTATACTCTTTCCTAACCTAGGATTTCTATATATAAAACTCTACTTCTATTCATTCAGCTATCTAAAGCCTAGTTCTACCTAGCCCTATTTTATTATTTTTTAATTAATCAATTCTATTTTTAACTCTTTATATACTAAAGCCCTAGCGCTTTTCCTATTTAAAACTAGAGCTTCCAATATAAAATACTATTTTATATAATATATCATATATAGTAATGTTTTTAATTTAATTTTATAAAAAATATAAAAGATTAATATAATAGAATAATTAATAAGTTAAATAATATAAATTATAAGATTAGTAAATTAAATAATAGATCAAGAATTTAATAAATTAAGTAAAAAAATAAAAATAGCTATAGATAGTAAAAAATAAAAGAAAATAAAAAAAATAGAATATAAATATAAAAATAAAAAAAATATTAATAAAATTAATATAAATTATTTAGTAATTAAAAAATAATATAATATAATATTAAATAATAAAATTAACCAGTATATTTTTAAAAATATTTGTTGGCTAGGGGATTCCGCCTGGTAGCCGATTGGCCCGGAAAGTGG